TTAAAATTCGTCGAAATTTTATGAAGTTCTACAACGTGTGAAATTTTGACTTACATGTTTTTTTTTAAATAGTAAGTTATATTTTCATAAAAAATAATAAATATTTTTTAAACAAAGAAAAGTAGCCAAAAATTTGCTAAAATGTCTTTTCCCTATTTACATTCTCGCCACCGTATATGTTGTGTGTATACATTTTTGCGATAATTTTTCAAGTTCTTTTGTCTTTGTTTTGTTTTAAATAAAACTGTCTTAAAAAATGTAATGTCTTTTTATTCTAAAATCAAACCACAGATATCTGGTCACTTACTTATAAGATTACTTTGTACAAGTGTAGACCGAACCAAATAACTGAGCGAATTTCGTCAGACGCCCATATCTGAACAATCTCTTGTATGTGATATATAAGTTATAGTGTAGTATAACCCGATCTATGTCATTTTGACTGCGTCATAAGTGAAAACAGTGCGAAAGTCCTTCTATGTAAATGAAGGAGTTAAAACGCAAAACCTCAGATATATCTAAGAAATTAATTATATGGGGGCTATGTGTTCTAGTGCTCCGATTTTGCCGGTTCCGACAAATGATTAATACTTTATAAAAAGGCACAAGCTTACCAAATTTCAGTCAAATATCTCGAAAGCTGAGGGACTAGTATGCGTTCACACAGATAGACAGATAGGCGGGCATGACTAAATACGCTCAGCTCGACGTTCTGATCATTTCGGTATACTATCTCCTATATGACTGTAAATTTTAATTTTTATAATCAAAGTAAAAGCAATCATTTTTGATTCCAATCATAACAGGTTGCAATATAAAGTATATTTTTCGATTGCAATTTTTCACAGCTCTGATATACACATATGAATTAAATATGCAAAAATTAATTGATCAAAAATCAACTCATATTTTTACAAAAATACTGTTCTCGATTAACAGGAGATCAACTAAGAGTAGCAAGGAGTTTTTTTTTCCGGGATCAAACTATTTAAAGGTTGGTGGAAGATGAGTAGAAACAAAGGACACGGAAGAAAAATTGGAGCTCTTGATCATCCTCCAGTATCGGCTGGGAGAAGTACGCAGTGTTGTCAGATTGGGAGAGCATCGAGTTTTGAGATAGCGTTGTAAAATTTCTTGAAATCAAATTATTTTTCTAATAAATATACATATAAGTAAATAAATGTTTTATCACTGGTAAGCAGTCTATTCTACAATTTTGTACCCTTTCAGAACTGGATCAATTTTGTTATTTACGCGGTATGTATGATTTTCGAATCGATTATATGGTATAAACACAATCAATGCTATTAAATACCGTGATGTGGTGAATAAAAATAAAAGTTAAAAACTCAAATCAATCTAATAAAGACACTTTTCTGTTGGCAGTATTAAAAAAAAAAAATATTTCTATATTTCACCTTTTGCTTTTTAAGTGAAAACAAAAATAAAATTAAGGTTTGTATGTCCGGTTTAAGAAATTAAAAAAATTTTCATTGGTAGAATTACCACTTTTTATACCCGAGCGCACATGTGCACAAGGGTATATTAACTTTGTTCACATAACGGTTGTTTGTAACAGCCAAAACGAATCGAGATAGATATAGACAAATGTATACATAAATGCTAAGAATGAAAAGAGAAGTCGATTAAGCTATGTCTGTCTGTCCGTCCGTCCATGTACACTCGAGCAAAAATGGAGATATCTCAACGGAATTTGGTATGTAGGTTTCTATTTATCCACGGTAGGTTGGTATTGAAAATGGGCCAAATCGGGCTGTAACCACGCCCACTTCCCATATAACGGAATTTTCAGAAATACGAAAACTGCTATATTTTAGCAACTACTGAAGGTTATTCACTCAAAATTGATATTTACAATAATTTTTAGACGAAAAATAAGAATATTATAAATTTTTGGAAAATGGGCGTTGCCACGCCTACTTATGGTTACATGTGTATATCTTCGTAACCGCTGCACCAATTTCTTCCAAACTTTGGACAGTTGTTGGCCTTGGTACAGCATACCAAATGGCCGAAAATTTTTAAAATCGGACAATAACCACGCCCACATCCCATATAACAGTAATTTAGAGAAATACAAAATCTTCGATAAATCAGTAAATATTAAAGCTTATTTATTCAAAATTGATGCTTGCAACAATTCTTTACCAAGTAATACGATTATGATAAAATTTTGGAAAATGGGCGTGGCGCCGCCCACTTATGATCACATATATGTATCTCGGTAACCGTTCTACCAATTTGTACCAAACTCGGTGTGGTTATTGTGCTTGCCACATAAAAGCAAAACGTTGAAAATTATTGAAATCGGACTAAAATTACGGCCGCTTTTCATATAACGGTAGATTTCAGAAATGCTTGAAACTTCAATATTTCGAAGTTTAAGGACGCTAATTTTCTCAAAATTGATACACCCCGGCTTACCATATAGCGGTAGCTTTCGGAAAGGTGAAAAACATATATTTAATACTTGCGCCGGGTATTTAATGTTCGGCTCCGCTCGAACTTAGACTTTCTTACTTGTTTAAACTCATATTATTTAAAATTCTTTTAAACGAGTGAATCGTGCAGAACGAGGTTCAAGTGTGTGTACATGTGTATATGCTTTTGCATATGCAATGCGATTTTTGATTTTTTTTTAAGTGATTAACTGGAAGCCTGTACAACAAATCAATCGAAACCAAAATAAGCCAATAAAGAGTCAATTGCATAAAACCATTACCATTCTAAGAGCCATTAATACCGTTAAAATACTTACTAATACATCCACGTAGTTGCCAATAAGAAACTATTGCATAAGTATTTCAACAATAATGTAGTGAAACAGGTAACGCAAGGTGCCAAGTTGGACAGTGTTGAACTAAGCAGGGAGGGTGCCAACAATGCATGCAATTTTTAAATGATGACCAAAAATTTTCATGAAGCAGCACTCAAAACCAAAGTTCAATTTTTCAAAAACAAATAATAGTGAATTACGACAAAACCAAAAGTAGCGTGCGTAGCGATAGATAGGATTTGTTTTATTTTTTCATAAAAAAATAATAATTTTAATTTTAATTACATTGGTTTTTTGTTAGTAAGTACTTAGCACAGCTTAAAACTAGATTTTAGTTGATAAAACGTAAATATCAATAAACTGAAACAGAAAATAATGCCAATCAAAAATAATAATAAAAACAACACATTCGGAAAATACCAAAAAGAAATAAATATGTAAATAATTTCCAAGGGGTGTGGGAAAAATAACGGTGTGAAAATTAGTGTAGTGAGGATATTCACACAAACAAAGGGAAAATTAAGCAAGGACCGCAAACTTATCTATTTTAAAGTATAGTTAAATAATTTCTATGGAATTTTCTGTAGTTATGTTTAACTAATGATTTAACTATACTTTATAATTGATAAGTTAAGGGCCCTAAGAGTAAAAAATTGGGCATTAACTTCCTTCGTCTTTGTGTCCATACAAAGTTGTACTGATGTTTAAACGCGATATTTTACTTAAAAAAACGCGCTACAGACACATTCAATACGAGTATATTTGATTGTGTGAATATCCCTTGTCAATTTATGTTCACAAATGTAGACCAATTCAGTTTCAACGTACAAATCTAATGCAAAATAATATAGGAAACATTTAATATGTATACACAGTTACAATCTAAATAATAGAATCAAGATTCAAAATGATGCTGTTATTTTGACCGTAACTGTATGTACTTTCATCTATATGTACACAGGAATGTTTTTGAATAAATTTCCCGATTTTAAAAATCCGCTTATGTAAAATGAATTTGGCGTACCTGCATGGAATATTGAGATTTTGGTGTGGCAACGATCGGCTTGATTGACAAAGGTTTGCGCTGCATGAAAGAATAATTCATAATTTGGTTATTGTTAATTTATAGGATTAGTTGTGTGTGGAAATTTAAATTTTAAAACTAGAAAATAATTTTAAACTCATTATTGTTTGCTGTTTGGGAACTTTGTCAATAAATTAGCTTTCAGCTTGTGAATGCTGTGGATATTAATTGGTTGATAAACGCCAACTGATGTTCATCCAAACAATTTGAATTTTATACCTGTGCACTCATGCGCAAGCGTGATGTATTCGTTGTGGCAATGCTGTTCATTGTGCCAATGGAAGTTAGAGATTCTCGGGAGCCCGTTCTGGAAAGTCGCGATTTCTTCGACGAAGGTGACAGTGAGACTTTGGCGATCGGAACAAATACTCCATATTTTGGTTTGCATTCGAAATAGCTGTAGTGGGAAAGGGTATGTATATGTTTATTATGTTAATATTAAAGGATGTACACTGGCAATCAAAAGTGAGTGCATGGTGTTTTTTTAATATTTGCAATGTTTTTCAAGTTAATTTTTTTTTTTAAATATGATTCAGGCTCTAATTAAAACCACATATGTAAGTCAAATTTTCAAACTGTATACAGAACTTAGAAAAATTCAACGCGATCTTTTAGACGCCTAAAACTTGATCTTGTTTCACTAGAACTAAAAAACCGATATATCTGCGTACTCAAAATTGTTCTAAAAATTCAGATTAAAAAGGTCAAAATTTAGACAAAATTTAGACAAAAATTCTTTGAATTTTTCTAAGTTCTGTATAAAGTTTGACTTGTATGGTTTTGATTAAAGCAAGAACCATATTTTTATAAAAAAATAACAAAAAAATTTTAGCTTGAAAAACATTGCACATATTAACAAAAGGCACCATGCACTTAGGGCTGGTCTCTACAACTCGACTTAGCTTAGTTTAGCCAATTTTTTAGACTTAGTCATGAATAAGCTGTGTAAAAATTAGGCCAACTTTTGACTTAAGTCCGAAAAATGGCTAAACTAAGTTAAGTTGAGTTGGAGAAACCAGCCCTTACTTTCGATTGATAGCGTACATATGCATGACGGTAAAATGGCAGATGTGCTAAGCAACACACGAGCTTTATAATAAGAATTATTTTTATGTTATGTTATCGATTTATGTTCTTGATATATATGTATCTTATATCTTTATATTTATAGATATCATTGCCATTATTTCTGGTCTCTTGACGTATTCAGTTACTATTTTTTTATCAGATTCTACTACATTTTACTGAAAAACATTCCTATACTAAACAAAGGGAAAAGAGAGCAGAAATGATTTTTTGCTTGTCAAGTAATAAATCAATAAACCAGTTGAGTTCGACAATAAAAATCGAAAATTGTTTAAAGAAATATACCTTCTTACTTTTTTACTGTGACCCAAAACAAATAAATTAACGGCCTTTATCTATATCATTTGAACGAAATAGAATCTTATATTCTCCTTCCATTTCGATACATATAGCCGACTAATCAGGGCATAAATCACGTATGACGATAATCGTCTGACGATATCATCTTGCCGATTGTCTTGCTTCATGAAAACCAAAAACTGTTTGATCGTTTGTGCGATATCGTCAGCTCGATTCCAATTTTGCTTCGCGTATCTGTTTGAAATACCACGTAGCCAGTATTAAATAAACGTGCGTTCTTGCACGATAGTGAGTTCAGTATCGTTTAAAAGAAAAAAACATTTACATATTTACATATTTTTTTTATATTTTTTCTTTTTAAGACCGGAATTGAAGAGATAGCTTTAATCCTTTATCCTTCCAATATATGCAAAAATATGCAATGACATTTTTTTTTGTTTCTGACAGTAATTTCAGCCGATTTCATTGCCTCAACTTAAATTCCTGCAGTATTAATATACATATCGTCATTAGACACGAATATGCATATGTGTATGTATGTAAATTCCCCAAAGAGTTTTTGGGAATTATGCTGAGGTGAGAGTCCTTGGCCACGTATAATAGCCCTATTATGTATAGCAACCGGTGTCTAGTTGCTTTTTAACATGTACATTTCGAAGTAATTGGCAACTTTGCTCCAATGTGTTCAACAATTTATGTAAACAAAAAACAAAATCGTCATAAACGGTAAACTGAAAATTGTGCTACTAGACTCAGTAGCTGACGGTCAGTAGCCAGTTGCCATACGTAATGCGAATTTTAGTATACGGTTGGCCATCGGCTATTAGTCGCCATACAAAATAGGGCCATAAACAAGCGCGCCTTTATTCGTGTCTAGTGACAAAATATCCTCCTTTGGATTCCTTAACGAAGGTGGCTATCAGTAGTTTGTGTTAACTAAAACACACCACCGCAGGACCGTTTATGTTGTCGTTACCCGTAGAGAGATTCTCTCTCTCTATCAACAGCAATTTGATATGTTGATATGTACGGATGGGCGCTCCGTCGGTGGGTGGCTGAACTAAAAGAATAATTTGAATATGAGCACAAATGGTCTGTGGGCAAAAAGGAATATTTTTACAGACGATGCATGGGTTTTTTAACAGAAATGCTCTTCGAAAGTATCGTAAATGTTCCAAGTATGCTTTAATTCTCGCTACATCCTGTAACTAAGCGTGCGTTATTGTAAAGAGAATATCCATTATGTTCTCTTTACATTTCTTAGGTCCAGGCCACGAAATGAGCGGCTGAGCGGCAGGGGGGTTTTGGGTGTTAAACTACGTGTCAGTCAGTGGCAGAGCCACGGGGGTGTTTTAACACCCAAAACCCGGTTGAAATATTTTTGTGGGATTCCAGAAAAAGTTATAAGTTTCCGACAATTCAAAGCATTTTGGCGTAGTTACAAACCCCAAAAAAACGTATTTATCGCAGTTGGATATAAAAAAATTTGAATAAAAATTACGTTTACCACATCCGAATCACTTTATGATTTTTTAATTAGGTACATGAGTGTTATGAGCACAAAATAACTTTACAGAAAATCTCACGAACCTTACACCATCCACAGAGCCATCGTTTTTACCCGAAGGTTCATCTAATTCCACGCCACACCAATTGCCCGAAGCAAACTGTGTTTCGCCCAAATAACGTAAAATACCAGGACGGCTGCCAAAACCAGATGACACAATAATGCGATCACCTACTGTCAATCCATTTTCTGTTTACGAAACGAAATAAAATTATAAGTTAAAAAATATTTATTTCAAAATGTATTATTCAGGGAACTGGGAACTAACGTTTCCGGAACGTTTTGGAAAAGAACTAAAAGGGAACAAAAGACTAAGGAACTTTCTATCGAAGAACAATTTGGGAACTAACGTCTCAGGAACTTTGTGACCGAGAACGAGAGGGGAATAAATCTTCTCTGAACTATTCGCGAAGAATGGAAGCAAGAACAAATTTTTTCACATAGCGTTCATTAGTTTGAAATGTTTGAATATTAAAATTAATAAAAAAAAACTAAAAGATAATTATTAAAATGAAGTCAACGAAAGACTTAAGATACGAACTTTTCTTGCCCAAAACATTAAAAATTGTTCCATAAAAGAACAGTTCATCCTATTGATAAAACGATCTGGAAGTTGAAATGTTACAGGCTTTCGTCGGGCATAGAATTAACAATCGTGGTTCTCACTGAAACGATTTTACATCCCAACCAATCATTCTTAACGTTAAGTTCTCAAAACTTTTGCTCTCGTTTGGTTTTACAGCAAATCGTTCCCGAGACTTTTGTTCTTATTTGATCCTCCTTGAAAACGTTCTCGATACATCCGTTCTCATTTGAAACTTTCGGGAAGTTTCGTTCTTATTATATTCTTTTTGAGAGCGTTTCGTTTTGTTCGCATTTTGTTCTTTATGCAGAAGTAAACCAAAACTGGAACACGTTCTCGGTCCTTACTATTATCTGTATAAATGAGTTATTTCACAGTATCAGACTTACTGCTAGGACTCCGTAGGAACGAGCTCCGCACGCTGGCAGTTGGTGACACTGTGCGTGAACGATCTGGCGACATTTTGGATAGCGGAGAAGTGGGCGTTTGTGCGCCGGAAAGCGGCGCCAAAGTTAGACGCGTGAGGCGTGAGAAAATACCACGCTTTGGTTCACACTGAAAGTAACGTTTACCAGCGACGCAGCCATCGTTTTTGCCTGTAAAACAATAAAAAAAACGGATTAAAGTTCGTGGGATGTATGTATAAGTAACTGTATGCTTACCATTTGGTTCATCCAGTACGATACCAGCCCATTCTCCGGGTGCGAAATGTGTCTCGCCAATGTAGGCTATCTGACCGGGACGTATGCCGCCAACCCATACTTTTTGACCAATAATAAACTGTTCTGTATCGTGTGTGAGAACGACTCCTTGATCTATTAAAGATATGTAAACAGAATATATTTTATATTTTGTAGCACATAGCCTTCGGCTAGCAGTTAGAATAATAATGATTACAATAAGATACCTATTTTTGGTTATTATTGCGATCCAAGAATTTTTTATATCAACAATGTTATTGAGATTTATGCCACTATTTGTTTTCTGGAAATTTAAAAAAAAGTTTTTTTTCTCATCCAAAAAAATCTGAAAGATTGGTCAGTCTAAGACTTCTAAAAGCAGGAGCTCTGGAGAGTCTATACATGATAATTGACATAAAGAGCAGCTAACGAAATTTTCCTCTTCATCATTATAATAACATTAGCAAAGATAATTTTTGAAGTGAAACTTCTTAATCGAGTTCGGAGATGATTGAGTTAAATATTTAACACCAAGTCATAAAATCTGTATCGTTCGTTCGCTTTTCAAAAATGAGGGTTCACATGAAAGGCCTTGTCCTTCGGGTGTGCAAAATAGCTTTAGTTCTATGAAAGGAGTGGCCACATGTTAAATAAACGAATTCAAAATTTCTCTGCCGCAGAGGGTTGCGTTAAATATTTAACACCAAGTCTAAAATCTGCATCGTTCGTTCGATTTTCAAAAATGGGGTGTCACATAAAAGGCCTTGTCCTTCGGGTGTGCAACTTACAGTGACGGGCAAAACTGTAACATGGTGTAACACTTTTTCCTTCAGTCATCGCTATCTTTCCAAGTTCTAACGACTTTCATACTTTTGTTGTATATTAATATTGGTACACCTGTGTTTCCTCTCTCATAATGATTTGAAGTCAATCCAACAACAATAAAACCAGCAGACAAATATGTAAATTAAGGCAGATGTTACAGTTTTGCACTCATATATTTTTAAGAACCTTTTAACAATTTTAACGAGAAAAAAGAACTACTAACACAATGTTCAGTACCCTTTTGCTTGTTTTAGTTTCTGGGTGCGATTTGGCATACCTTATTTTTATCTCTGTAAAACTTCTGGAGGTATATCCTCTATATATCCTTAGTTTGCTTTCACAGCTCATGTACTCGATTATACGGTCTTGGATACTTAATAAGCTGTGCTTCTAGTTGATTTCGCAAATTCGCGATGAGATTTATGTCCGCGGTTGTGGAGGTCGTATCAAATTAGCAAATTTTTTATTTCGTATGCAGTCTTTGCGAACATATGCAGTATGTTTTGGGTGATTTTTCGGCAGAAACTCTCATTTTTCGACTACATCTTGCAAATTTTGTTGAAATATGAACAGATACTGTTCCTTACGCATAATGCGTACTAACGGACCGACAAAATTGTTTAAATACAACCCCAAACTATTATTGACCGACCATTCTGATTCAGTTTGCCTCACATGTTGCGCATGGGCTTAATTTGGGTCTTTAATCCAATACCATGCCCGGCCATCTGATTGAAAGCAATTAATTGAGTCTTGTCAGACCAAATAACCTTCAATTGAAACTTAAAAATATGTTTTTTATTGCATTCTGAAAGGCCTAACATATCCCAATAGGCAACGGTCCGGTTTTCGGGCGACACAGCAAAATGCTACCACTCTCGCACATATATTTTGGTCAAATTAGCTTTTTTCTTCATTTAAGATGCCTTTGCGCCAATTTGGCAATCCGTCGCCTCGCTGTCTACTGATTTGCATTAAAGTTTAATACCTTAAGCGCTTCTGTAATAGTGGCTGCATCGCTACTTGCTGCTAAGTTCACAAGATATTGGACCGTAATATTTTTTGATAGACTTCCTTTGCCCTTGGGAACACTTTAGGTTATATTTTTTATCAATCTAAATATTTTCAAGTAGCAAACTCCACAATTTTTCGCCACTTTCCTGCGGTCCCGCCTTTCCACAGTAAATCTATTATTTACATTTATGGTTCCTGATTAACTATATTATTTACTGGTGATTACTTCTTCAATAAATTACAACACAGAAAAAAGTCATCTGACTTCCACCTAAGTAAAAAATAACTGTAAAATGCAAAACTGAGTGAGTGCAAAATTGTAACATTTGTCTTAATTTACATTTTTGTCTGCTGGGTTTTTTATTGTTGTTGTATTGACTTCAAATCGTTATGAGAGAGGGAGTAGGGATGTACCAAAAAGAATATACAACAAAAGGATGAAAGTCGTCAGAACATGGAAACATAGCGGTGGGTGAATTAAAAAGTGTTACACCATGTTACAGTTTTGCTCGTCACTGTAGCTTTAGTTCCATGAAAGGAGTTGCCACATGTTAGAAAATCGAATTCAAAATTTCTCTGCCATGAGGGTTGCGTTAAATATTTAACATCAAGTCTAAAATCTGTATCGTTCGTTCGATTTTCAAAAATAAGGTGTCACATGAAAGGGCTTGACCTGTAAATGTTCAATATGGTTTTCGTTTTTTAAAGGGTTGGAATATATACGAAAATCAAATTCAAATTATTTATTAAGTTAAATGAATTATCCAAATATGGGTATCAAAAGAAATGGTTTTGAATAAACTGTATTTTTCAGCCACATGTAAGAGGCTTGCCACCTGTTTCAAAAGTCAAATTTAGTTAAATTTTACAGAAGTCTTATGCATAAAATATTATACAGTAAGCGTGAACAGAAAGAGCTTAAAGAAACACAATTAAAATATTTTTGAGGTGCTTGAAGATGGTGGCCACCTGTTTAAAAAGTTAAACTCAAATTATTGAAGCGAGTCTTATTATTATAGCTCTGAGGTGTTTGCGATAAATACTTAACGCCACGATAAAGGTAGTATATGGCAGGTATAAAAAACGAATGGCTGCGTTAAACGCCAATTGGGCGGGAAAGACTAATGCAAAGACAAGAATATAAACAAAAACAAAGATAAAGATAAAGATAAAGATAAAGATAAAGATATAGATAAAGATGAAGATGAAGATAAAGATAAAGATAAAGATAAAGATAAAGATAAAGATAAAGAT